GTGGCTTGAGGGTTTGCTGATATGATCACCTGATACTATCTGGTTGCGGGTAGGACTAGAAGAGGGGACAGATGTAAGATATCTAACCTCTCTTCTCCTTCGTGGTCATGTTCTACCCCCACCACCATTCCTTCTGCTACCCAGTACCACCTCAACAGCTGTCCCTCCAATGCCCTCCCCCCTTCCTGTTCCCTCAGATCCACTGTGGGTCTCTAGGTGCTCAACCTGATGGCAACTGATAACCCAATCACAATCGAACCCCTTCTAAAGCCCCTTCTCCTCTTGAGACAGGTGGCTAGTGTTGAGGAGGGGGTGGGGCAGCCAGAAGTAGCGAGCCAGTGGGAGTCCAAACCAACCTCCCCCAGGAAGGCTGGCAACCGACGGCAGCACAGCTGCATTGTCTCTCTCACCCAGTGCCTCTGGGGCGGCAGATGATGGCGGCTCCCCTGAAAGCAGGAATGCTGGTTCAGGTTGAGAATAAAGCCCCATATAGCAAGGACAATGTTACAGGATGGCCCAAATATCCCCCATCTTTGAGTTTTAAGGACTTCAGTTTGCCAACTCTAACACTTCTCAGTTTGATTCATGAAGGTGGGACTTCCATTCTCTTCCTCTTCTACCTTCAATCTACAGTTAAGTCTGTTTTAAGAGAAGAAGCCAAGACAAACTTGTATAGCAGCTGAAAAAAGAAGTAAACAGCAAGCTACAGAAATTTCTAAGTTAGCCGCAATAGTGTATTGCAGTAAAAACAACAAGGAAACTTGGTACACCTTTAAGACTAGCAAAGTCAATTAGTCATGAGTTTTTGTGAATATAGCTCACTTTAGCTCCATGGAGTATCGCATTCAAGTCATAGATGCATGCGGGGCTGGTTATGGGGGTGGGACAGAATGAAACATGGTGCAGAAAATGACAACTGTAGTAGTTAACACTTATAATAAACTCTCAAAGGGCTGGTTATCATAAACAACCTGTCAGGAGTGATATCAGCGACGCATGCCAATTAGCCCTGTTAGCAGAGACTATAGTATTTGGCGATAATGATTTGCCAATCATGATTTTTCCAACAGGCCTAGGAGAGGAAACAAATACCTGCTGGCTTCACCTAAAACAGGAACTGTTTTGAAAGCAGAACCATTGCTTTTAACCTCCTTATCTGATTTGTATAACTAACGTTGTTATTGACAAAATGTTCATGCTCACCAACTCTTTGCAATGTTATGAACAGTTTAATTAATACAACAGTCATTTTCTGTATCACACTTCATTTGGTTCCAATCCCAGAACTATAATCAGTGTGTATATAGACCTGTAGCTTGAATACTGTATACTGTGAATCTGAAGAAGTGAATTATGTCCATGAATGGTCATACCAAATAAAACTTGTTAGTCTTAAAGCGCTCTTTCTTGTTTTATCAATAACAACAAAAGTTTTCTGTGACTGACAAATCTATTTTAGGTATGATTTTAGCTAGTACCAATGGCGATGGGGACGGCAGCTACTGGTTAGTAGTGATAGCTGAAGATGACTCTGGAGGAGAAGGCAACAGCAGTAACACACAAGCTAACTTTTATTGGTGCTGTGCAGAAAATGGCAATGGTAAGCCTCTAAGCTTCTGCTGAACCTTTCTTACCATGAAAACCCTATGATGAGACAGGCCAAAATAAAACAAAAGATAATGCTGGAAGATGAGGCTCCAGCTCGGAAAGCATTCATTCAGCTACTGGGTAAGAACAAAGGACAAGTAGGAATAATGCTGTTGCTAATGATGCAACTAGCCACCTAGAGTGGTCGTATAGATCAGATGGGCGGGATACAAATCAAATCAAATCAAATCAATCAATCAGTCAATCAAGCCAAAAGGACCTCGAGTGGCTGACATGTACAACATATACAATTCGAACATGAAATGTGAGAAGTATGAATCAAGGTAAACTAGAAAATGTAAAGCAAGAAACAGAATGTATTGCAGTGCTTGGTGTCAATGAACTAAAGTGGATTGGAATGGGATATTTCCACTCAGACAACTACAAAATTTTCTAATCTGGAAATGACAATCCCAGAAGACTCAGACAACTACAAAGTGTTCTAATCTGGAAATGACAATCCCAGAAGAAATGGAGTACTTCTAATATTAAGGCAAGATGTAGCCCAGAGCTATAATGAAAGCTCTAACTAAATATTATCAGTCAGATTCCATGGAAAACCTGCCAACATAACTATCATTCAAGTCTATGTTACAACTACAGATGAAGATGAAACTGAAAACTTTTATGTACCGTAATCACCTAGAAGGAAACTGATCACACACCAATACAAGATGTGCTTATAATCGTAAGTGACTGGAATGCATAAGTAAGAGACAAAGCAGAACCAAATATTGTTGGAGAATTTCGCCTAGGGGTCAGAAATGAAGCAGGAGAACAGGTTATATAGAGCTTTGTGAAGCCAGCAATCTATTGCAAAAACAATAGATTCCACCAAACAGATGACTGTATATGTGTACATACACAGATGGCTAACACAGAAATAAAATAGACTACATAATTTGAAGCAAGAGATGGAGATGTTTTATTTTCTCTGCCAAAACAAGACCAGGAGAAGATTGTGGTACTGATAATGAACTATTACTACCCAACATCAGAGTGAAGCTGAAAAAGAACACTAGAAGAATCCTATTGTCAAAATATAATTCAAATAATATCCCTGATTATTTTAAATTCATGTAAGGATCAGATTTACATCACTAAATTCAGTTGACTGTGAACTAGAAGAATGGTGGATTGAAAACAGAGATATTACTAGGGAAGAATGCCAAAAGATAACTCCTGTCATAAAAAGAAAAGAAAAAACCTGGATGGATGATGGAAGAAACACTTAAAATTGTAAATGCAGATGACAAGAAAAAGTAAAAGATGACAGAAATAGGGTCAGATTCCTGAATGCAGTTGTTCAACAACTGTCATGTAGAGATTAAAAGAACTATTAAAATAACCAGTCATATATGGGACGTGGTGGCGCTGCGGGCTAAACCGCAGAAGCCTGTGCTGCAGGGTCAGAAGACCAGCAGTCGTAAGATCGAATCCACACGACGGAGTGAGCTCCTGTCGCTTGTCCCAGCTCCCGCCAACCTAGCGGTTCGAAAGCATGCAAATGCAAGTAGATAAATAAGGAACACCTCGGTGGGAAGGTAACAGCGTTCCGTGTCTTGGATGGATGATGGAAGAAACACTTAAAATTGTAAATGCAGATGACAAGAAAAAGTAAAAGATGACAGAAATAGGGTCAGATTCCTGAATGCAGTTGTTCAGCAACTGTCATGTAGAGATAAAAAGAACTATTAAAAGAACTATTAAAACTATTAAAATAACCAGTCAGTATATATATATATACTGACTGGTTATTTTAATAGTTCTTTTTATATGCCTGTTTCCTGGGAATACATTAAGTTCAGGCTGAAATGAAGTTTCAGGCCACTCATTTGACAAGATATTGGTCATGCCAAAATTAAATGCCAACATGGACGCCCCCTAGAGTCGAACATGACTGGACAAAAATTGTCAAGGGGAACCTTTACCTTATATATATGAATTATATATGTGAATTTCGTTGTATGGTATACTGTGTATATACTTACAATGACAATAAATTATATTATTATAATTTTTTATATATATGCCTGTTTCCTGGGACTACATTAAGTTCAGGCTGAAATGAAGTTTCAGGCCACTCATTTGACAAGATATTGGTCATGCCAAAATTAAATGCCAACATGGACACGGTGGCAGTCATATTGCTATAGCTGAGCATCAAACCTTATACTGTACTGTACAGTAGTTCCAGTTCTCCAAGCTTTGAAATTAATCTTGTGGAACTGTGGTGCCACCTACTGATCTCAAGTCTACATGTCAATATGCTAAGAATTACACATAAAGAAGAATGTGGCTTTTTTATTTTTCATTTTGTTGGCATATAGATTTGGTACTGATCCAACTAAATGGAACAGAATAAGTAACTTAAGTTCCACTGCTTTCAGAAGGACATTAAAGCACAACTAATTTTTGCTGGATCTTGGAGTAGACACGGAGCGAGGGAATAATCCAAACATAAAGCAATATTTATTCAGCTCATTTTAGACAATTCTTAAAAGATTTAACAGTTTTGAAACAAAATAATGTGGGACTCAAGAGCTACTAAATACTCAGAGAGAAGTATTGGCTTTGGAGATCCTATTTTTGTTTAGTTGTGGGAAAAATTAAAAATAACAGAAATCTGTGAAGAGTTCTAGCTTTTCATAGTGGATGGAAGGGCAAGCAGGGAAGGAGGGTATCACTCCATTATGCCAGATTCATGTGAGAACAGACCATCTCTGAGTACATAAGCATGATGGAACTCTAGATGCCTCTCTCCGCATGGAGATAGCAGGGAGTAACGAAGAAATATATCCATTGCAGTCCTTCACAATAGTGCCTGCCAGTAGGTTGCAACGTGACCAAAGGGGAAAAAAACTGCACAAGAGGATAGGCAGAAAATGAACACTGAACTCATTTTGCCAAGGGTTCTAGGACCTAAAATATGTCAAAACCGTTTATTGAAACAATCCTTTCTCCGAAATATTTCTCACGTCGTAGGAAAGCGCAGTCTAATTGTATTTCCATTCTTTTCTCAAACCTTCCTATTTGTTTTGCAGTTTTAACCGTGCAGTGAGCAAATGAAAACATTTTCACGGTCTTTTGAGAATTCCAAACTGTTGAAGCCGCGTTGGAAGTTTTTATAGGAAAGGAGAATATATACAAAATAGACTCAATTTGCACCCCCCCCCCACACGCCTACACATTTCCTCGCACAACCAAACGGAGTCGCCACCAGGAAGCCGAGAGCCAATGCGCCTGCGCAACTCCCTCCGTTTCGGCTGCGAGAAGAATAGTTCGCTCCTCGGCCAACCGCCCTATCATAGAGAGCGCAGAGCCCGCCTTTCTTGGGTTGGCAGAGCGGCCGCTGTGCGGAGCATCCCGGAAGCGGAACCGGTTCCACTCAGCCGCGGAGCATTGTGGTGTGGCGCCGTTGATGGAGGAAGGAACGGTGGTGGGAAGTGCCGCTGCGGTGAGGGCTTGTAAGCCCCGGAGCGGGGAGCGCTTGGGACCCCTGGGGGTCTCGTTACCCCCTGGCCCCGTCATGTTTTTCAACAAGATCCCCCCGCGGTGGCTGAACTGCCCGAGGCGGGGACATCCCGTGGCAGGTGAGCTGGGGTGAACAGCGACGGGGCTTGGGGGGGGAGGCAGACGTTGCTTGGAGGCTCGCAGCTGGGCGGGGGGTTCAAGGAGGGCTTCATGCTTCCAGCCACGTGTCTCGGCTTCTGCTTCTGAATTTGGGGCTGAGAGCCCAAGACTGACCGGCAGCTGTTTGCGGTTTATGCTATGAGCCACGATCAGAAAACTTTGGCCATTCCCATGGACGTTTTCGAGCCCTGGTCACAGCTTTGCCTGTTGTTTCTGTTAGATACACCTGGAACTCGGTGTATGGCTTCATGCGCCTGGGGAAGTGGACCGCTCCGTGGAAGTTCACACTGTAAAAAACTTTTAAGTTAAACTTTCAGAGGCCAATTAACTTACAGCAGGGTAAACTTTTTGGAAGTCATTCTCACATGTGAACAATTACCAAGTGCAAAGAAAGACTCCTCTTGCCTAGGTTTATTTGTTTATTGGACAGTATTTCTATTGAAGGAAAGCATTAGCTATATATACTTTCCCTTTTGTTTAAACTTTTTGAATCAGACCAAAGATAGGCACGGGTGTCCTCCCCCAAGCCTTTTCAGGTTTCCTTTCTCTTTTCATAAAGGAAGAAATGCTACCTATAAAACTTGGCAGAATGAATGAGACAAAATATTTTGAATTACTTAATAGCAAACAGACTGTTACCAGATATTTCCATCTGCTTAAAAGAAAAGTTTAATTGTCACCATAGGTTAGGGAATTGACACAGATTAAATATTCTGCATATGAAGGGGAAAAGCAAATGGGAACATTATGAGGGTTATTAACTAGTTTGTGGAAAATGCTGATGTGTTTTGCAGTCCTAAGTCATCATTCACTTGATCTTGTGTATATGGGGACCAGGTAATAGCCCAGATGGAGTTGGGCCTAAGTTCTGGGCCCAGTTACTAAGGCTTTTGTTTTACCATCGAAAAACAAGGCTACTGATTCTGTGTGTGGGGATTATGAGAAAGAACTCCCAGTTTTGGGACTGCCCTGGCATTTTTTATTTTATGAATTTAGCATTTTTGACTCAGCAACTTGTTTACTACTTCTTTGTCTTTACAGACACAGTTCAAGTTTATAGACCCAGAGTACAATTAAAATCATTAAGCAAGTCCAAATAATAATTGAAACAGAAGGAGGAAAAAAATTAGAAAGAGTAATATAAAAATGCTGAAAGCTGACAGATGATGATAAAAAAACGATGCAGCCACAATAAACACTGGCAACAGGAAGTGCTGCAAAAATTTATAATGTGCTTCTGCTGCAAGGCTTTATACCAGCTAGATTAAGTGTTGATTTGTTTTCAAGGACAGTTTCATGTCAAGTGCATTATGGAGGTCTGAGAAATGATTAGGAAATGCAACAACCTTTCTTGACAACAGCTGGTACAATGAGACAAAAATAATGAAATATTATACTTCTCATGGTTGTCACCTGAGCATTTAGAGCCAAGCTGGATGTGGTAGATCATATAACCTGCTGTTTCAAGAAGACTGAGCTCCTCCATAAATGATAGAGCCACTGTGTCAGGTGTTTCATGATGCTTGGTTCCCTGACACAAGCATCTCTGTCTGGAATCAGTTCTCATTTATTCACATTCATTTAATTGATTATTGATTCTAAACAAATATTGTCCTGCTCTTCACCTGGCAGACTTTAAGCAGTTTAGATTAGCTCCAGGCATTGATCAAATCTATCCAGTTTCTCAATTCCTATAGGTTTATATACTCTTGCCCTATTTATAGTTGATGGGGCAGTATTTACTAATGGTTCCTGCTATGATTCCTGATTTTGTAGTATTCCATGACATTTTATTTTGAGTACAGTAGTTTACAATTACATACTACAATGAATTGTTGCCAACTCTTCTGTTCTTAATAAAAATGTTTTTCAAAGAATCAAGGAAACAGTCAAATATGATTACATGGCTTCACACTCATCATATACATGTTGTAAGAATGTGGTGATGTTTTTGTTGTCACATAGCAAGATTTTTACCTCTGAAGACCATGTTAGGACCAAAATATGATGATCAAGTTGCTGAAGAGTATCGTTTCCATCCCAGTATGTTATCAAACTACTTAAAGAGTCTTAAGGTAAGGGATATCCTTCTTCCAAGCTATCTTTATGTCCCAACCTCAGTGATTTTTCTGCTTGAGAATTAACGGTTGTAGAAATAGCAGAGAGTCTTATGGTTCTGAAAAAACTAACAGGTTTTATTTGATGGAAGCTTTCAGTGGAAGGTAGTTCACATTCAGATACTCTTCAGTGAGTTGCAATCCACAAGTGGATATGCCAAATAAAATTTTGTAGTCTTCAAGGTACCACAAAACCAAGTAGATTAGCATAGTTAGCTTTATGGAAATTTGCTGCCTGCCTTGTTGCCTCCATTTGTGTCTGGATATTCTCCGTATCATCTCCACTTTTTAGTTGAATGTTATTTGTTACTGCTGCTTCAGATATATGGAGTATAGCTTCAGTTAGACAGACATTTATATAAACATGGGTATGAGCAGAGTGTGAAAGGTAATGTACTTGTAAGAGATCCAGCATAGTAATGATCTTAAATAGTATTCATGTTCCTTGGGGAAGTGATGGGTACAGATCTTTATCATTAAAAGTCAAAAGTAATTTGTAGGTAACATGTACTTACAAGTATAGATAAGCAGATAAATATATGCAAGGTAGAAGGCTAGCATAACTGAGAAATACATCCTGTAGCTGTGCATGGTTCAAGAGCAGTGCTTCCCAACCTTGGGTAACCCATGTGTTCTTGAACTGCAACTCCCAGAAATCCCAGCCAACACAGCTGGTGATGAAGGCTTCTGGGAATTGCAGTCCAAGAAAATCTGGGTTGCTGAAGGTTGGGAACCACTGCTCTAGAGCAGTGGTCCTCAACCTTGGGCCTCCAGATGTTTTTGGACTTCAACTCCCAGAAATCCTGGCCAGCAGAGGTGGTGGTGAAGGTTTCTGGGAGTTGTAGGGCGGAGATAGGGCCAGATAAGGCTCAGATAGGGACTGATAGGGCTTGGATAGGGTTTAGAGAGGAGTTAGGAGATCTGTGTTATACTGTGAGAGTCTGTATACTAGTGCCTTGATTATAGTGAATGAATTATTATTTATTAAAAGTGATTTACCGTTCCTTTTATTTGTATCCAATAAACCTGAGTTTTTATTTTGAATCATATTTTGGCCTGAAGCTACTTATTTGAGGGAATGGTTGATGGCAGTGGAAAAGAAGAGTGATTGAGAGTGACGTAGCGACCCCCCCTTTGTGAGGTAGAGGGAGGCCGTTACACTTATCAAATATGTTCTCCTTCAGTATGCTTACGGTAAGCATACTGAAGGAGAACATATTTGATAGGTAACACCTTAGAGGTTACACCACTGGCTTTTGAAGCAAAAAGAGAAGGAGAGCTGTACACAGATGTACAAGGTAATACACATGTGTGAGCTGTTTTATTATACAAAAAGCCTGAAGTGTTGGATCCTGTTACTTCTGCTCCGCTAAACTGCTGTGCTATAGTTGTGGGGATGAGAACTGATGAGACGGGAAAGAGTAAAATTATTTTGCTGACATTTACTCAGCAATTGGAAATTTAAATGGAGGGGGAGTGCTCTGTATTTCTGTTTAAGTTCAAGAATGGTGTGACAAAACTGCAATAAATAAATGCATAAACAAACCAATATTCAAAAGTATAAAAACCGTTTTATTATTTTTAGGTTAAGATGGGTCTGCTGATTGATTTGACAAACACCACTAGGTTTTATGACAGGAATGATATAGAAAAAGATGGCATCACATATATAAAGCTTCCATGTAAAGGGTAAGCTGATTGAACTTGTGTGTATTTGCATTTTTTAAATTAGAAACCTGTTTCTGTAATATTGACATTTTGAATTTTTCCCCCCAGACATGGTGAATGTCCCAATGTTGAGAACACAGAAGCATTCATTCACGTGTGTGAACTTTTTAGCAATAAGAACCCAACAGAGCTTATAGGTATGCAATTTTCTCTTTTTGGCTGCCTTGGTTGCATCTGTTTTTCCACAGCCTTCTGACCTGTTTCCTCCCTGGATATGAACATTGCTAGTCTTAGTTGCATGGGTTCTTTTCCAATGATATTCTTGTTGTCAGGAGAATTCGTGGAAGCAGTTAATTATTTAACATATCTTTGCTGTTCTCTTGTGCTGTGCTTGAAAATTTAGCTTCTATCCATCTTCCATTCTAAACAATGCACTATTTCTGCCTCCATTGCTTAAAGTCTGAAAGCAATGGAATCAGGGAGCAGAATATGATGAAATCCCACAGTATGGGGAAAAAGTAGGCAAACCGTGTCTGAAATAGGTTTATTTTTTGCAGTGCAACCCAAGTTAATTCCAGCACTGTACTGTTAGCACTCATGACTATATTGCATAAACTAGAGACATCAGCAGGTAGTCAGGATTCGTGTTGAGATGCTTTGTACATTATGAAATTTTATTGCTTAAAATGTTAAGCCATATGAATGACACCTGAGCATTTATTAGTAATAGCACAACAGTCAAGATAGTTTGACTCAAATTGCTTTAGGGCAATAAAGCTATCTTAACTCCCAAAGTTCCCAGACAGGAGGCAAGAATGGGATTACTAGTGAACTGGGAAAATAAACCTTGTTATTCAAGACTTGAGATTGTTTACAGGCCTTTTTTCAAGTCATGGTCATTCTTGGGTTTGAGCAGTTATATAAATGAATGCAGACTTGTATTAACGTGTAAAAAACAAAGCAAAGCATGCTGTTTATATACCGCCCCATAGCGCTTCACGCACTCTCTGGGCGGTTTACAAGTTAATTATGCAGGCTACACCCCCCCCCCCCCCCCAGCGAGCTGGGAACTCATTTTACTGACCTTGGAAGGATAGAAGGCTGAGTCAACCTTGAGCCGGCTACCTGGGATTGAACCCCTGGTCGTGAGCACAGTTTTAACTGTAGTACAGCAGTTTAACCACTATGCCATGAGGCTTTGTAGCAGGCTAATATGATTTAGTGACTGGACTACCTCCTAGGCTTCTACCTCCTATGGGCCTTTCTTTTGTCTCATACTGGACTCCCTCTGTTATTTTCATTTACAGAATTAACCATAGTGTGATGTAAAATGAGCACAGCAGTTTTTCAAAGCTGCTTCTTTCCAAACAACAGGTGCAATCTCATATTGTTTAGTGAGATGCTGTCCACTTCCAGAGGAGTAGCCATGTTCAACATACCCTCAAATGTTCAGCCCCCTTGCGTGCATGACTTTGCTCCTGTGCATGTGACTCGCCCTCCCCTCGCGTGAGGTTCTTTTGTGACCAGAGCCAAGGGGTTTGAAAATAATCGCTGCATGGAGGAGGAAGCTACGTGGACGGAGGTGGAGTTGCGTGTGCATGCAGGCATCCTAGAGGGATCCTTGGCCGTGTTAGTTTACTGCAAGGGAAATAAAAAGCCGAAATTCCTTGTGTCAACAAATTTATATTACATATATTTTTGCAGAAAGATTTTGATTTCAGTAGAAAATTATATTCTGTATTTATCAGAAGATGTAAGTGGGGTTTTGGCATATGAATTATTGAAGTATTTGAATTTCAGCATTTGCTTTTGAATAAATTTATTTTCCAGATGTGTCATCAAATAGGCAGACTTCTTAGTTTTATTTCTAATACAAAAGTTTTGGGTACACTGAAGCTTGGAATCTTGTGAGAAAATAGAAATGCAAGAGATTGGAAATGTCTGTGTTTTGTAACTTGGTGAAAAAGATGATCATTCCTGATAGCTATGTGTGTGACAGGGCTCTGAGTGATTCACCTTGGCTCTTCATCTATAATGTGGAGGGGGGTGAGCAATATTTAATCCTCTAGATGTTTTGGACTTCAGCTGTCCTGATTGCTAGTCAGCATGGGCAGTGGTGAGGGATTATAGGACTAGCAGTGTAAAACAGCTGGAGGGTCAGAGGTTTCCTACTCTTATATGTGATCATCTGATGCCTGGTAAACTGCTTTGGAAAGCATTTAGCTTGACTGCCTTTGGCTGAATCTTTCAAGAATGCCCAGTTTATTTGTTAAGTTGTCTGTTGTTAGCTGTTATGTTTTATCAGATTGTTGTGATTTAGCTAGCTGTATTGTCTGTTGTTGTTTTCCGGATATTGAAAAATGTCTTGACTTGTTGGAGCAGAAAGGCAGACTAACAATTCTGTAATGAAATAATAATAATAATAATAAAAATTCTGTAATGAATTAATAATAACTATGATGATGGTGGTGGCGGCGGTGGAATGTGTCCAGTCAGTTCTGACATACCATGACCCTTCTCATTATTTTCTGAGAGTAGGTACTCCGTAGTAGTTTACCAGTGCTTTCTTCTGGGGTTGCTTTGGGACTGTATAGCTGGTCACATAGCCTGGTTATTCTTCTACAAGACACAGAAGGAAATGCTGTTGGCTTTTATTTCTATTTTTCATCATGTGCTTCTATACTGTTTTAAAGTATTTTAGTTCAATGGCTGCTGAATAGGACAAGTTCTTACTACTTATCCCAACTAAAGTAGACCGATTGATTCAACAGAGTTTGCATAAGTGATGACTTATTGTTCAGGAATTGATTCAGTTGGTCTACTCCTGCTGGGATTAGCTATAGCAGGGGTCTCCAACCCCTGGTTTGTGGCCTGGTGCCAGTCCATGGGCTCGCTGGAACTGGGTCACAGAGACAGATCGCCACCCCCCGCCCGCCCACATAGGGGGCATGTCGCTCTTGTGGGGGGGCTTGTCGCGCTCGCGCAGGGGCGTGAGCATAACACCCCCCATGAGCGTGTGGGGTGCCTCTGCCTCCCCCGTGCATGGAGCCACCCCCAACCGGTCCACAGCCCCAAAAAGGTTGGGGACCTCTGTGCTATAGTGTAAGTAACAGGATGTGTTTAACACTTAGAGCTGCTTGCTGCTTTCACCAGATGAATGAGCTCCAGCAGATTCCATGGGTAGATCAGAGTGACTAACTTGGGCTCAAGGTCTGAGACAAGGTATTTGTGTTATGGTTGTACTGGACAATCAGCCTGTAGTGTCACAAAATGTAGTTACTTTTTGTAGCATTATTTCATTTACTAAGCAGTTGAAGCATTGCGTTTTTGAATCTAAAATAGCATGTTAAAATAATTCCTGTAAAGAGTACTGTGGACTTGTACTTACGATTAGCAGCGCTAGTTGCTGTTGTGAATTTTAGCATTTTAATAGTACTTTGAGTGTATGGAAGTTGTGTATAGTCCAGCTGTGTGGCACGCATGTGCGTATGTGTATATGTGCTGCTAATTTCAAACTCACCATACAGTGGTGCCTCGCATAACGAGCGCCCCGTTTAACGACAAATCCGCATAGCGATTCATTTTTTGCGATCGCAAAAGCGATCGCATTACGATGTTCCCTATGGGGAAAAATCGCTTTACGATTTTTCCCCATAGGCCCCATTTTCCCCCAGCTGACTGGCGGGCGCTTCGGAAGGACGACAGGGTAGGGTCCCCCGCTCTCCTTCCCGAGAGCCCGCCGCCTAGCTGGGGGGAAATGCCGGCCGGCGCTTGGGAAGGAGGGCGGTGGAGGTCCCAGCACTCCTTCCCAAGAGCCCGCCGCCCAGCTGGGGCGAAATGCCAGCCGGCGCTTGGGAAGGAGGGCAGTGGAGGTCCCCACACTCCTTCCCAGGAGCCCGCTGCCCAGCTGGGTTAAAATGCTGGCCGGCGCTTGGGAAGGAGGGCGGTAGAGGTCCCCGCACTCCTTCCCAAGAGCCCGCCGCCCAGCTGGGGCGAAATGCCAGCCGGCGCTTGGGAAGGAGGGCAGTGGAGGTCCCCACACTCCTTCCCAGGAGCCCGCTGCCCAGCTGGGTTAAAATGCCTTCCGAAGCCAAAAAGGCAGGGAGAAAGTGTGGGAAGTTTGAACTTCCCGCGTTTTCTCACTGCCTTTTTGGCTTCAGAGAGCTCCGAAGCCGCCCATCGCGGCGGTGGGGACCCCCAGGGACGTCTCCCAGGGCTTGCACGCCATCATGGGAGATCTCCCTGGGGGTCCTCGCAGCCGCGATTGGTGCCTTCAGAGGTTTCAAAGGGCTTTCCCCAACATTGGAGGAAGCCCTTTGAAAGCTCCAAAGGCAGCGGAGGGCTGGGAGGCTAGAGCAGAGCGCCGGGATGCTTCAGACCGGTAAGTCCTTTTAAAAAAACTTTTCTGTTTGAGTTTTGGAGGGTGGGTTTGGACTGGGGGGTTATGTTTCTGTGGTTTGTGTGTGTGTGTGTGTTTGTTTTTTCGCGGCATTTTTGCGGCGGGCGCTTCGGAGCGGCTGCGGGGGAGGGCTCCCCCGCCGTCGTTCCAAAGTGCTTCGGCCCGCTGTGTGAAAATGAGGGCTTTGGGAGGACCGCGGGGAGCCCCATTTTCACACAGCTGATTGGCGGTTCCAAAATGGCCGGTGCAACCATTTTTGAGCGCTGCCCTTGCTTACCGAGGCGGCGAAAATGGCGGCGCTGCGGAGGATCTTCACATAACGGTGAGTTTTCGCCCCAAAGGAACGCATTAAACGAAGTTTAATGCGTTTCTATGGGGTTTTCCCTCCCGCATTGCGATGTTTCCGGATAGTGACGATTAATCCGGAACGGATTAACGTCGCTATGCGGGGCACCACTGTATATATATCAGAAATAGTAGTGTGATACCCTAACTGGATGGATGGATGGATAGATACACTATTTCTGATATGTTTGAGTGCATTATACAGTTGCCAAACTGAGGCTGGGGGAACACTCTCGGTGATAAAAAGCCTTCTGCTACAGGATCAGGGGGTTTAATTTAGGTAGCTTATAAGAGTCTGGGACAGTGTGCATAGGCTTATTTTAATTGGCAATTTTAGGGCATAGGCTGCAGATAACATGTTGTTTATCTTCTGCTGCATAAATCAAATCATGTTTATAAGCTGTTCATAATACTGGAATTTTCTTTAATTTTATCTTCCACGTGCTAATATTT